TTTTTCCCCTCAAGAGTTGGATCCGCTGATGTACACTCTTGAATATATGTTTTATAAGTGGATGAGAGCTTCATCCAGAGGGGCCAAAGAGGCTGCCCTGAAGGAGGCACGCATGGAGGTGGCCACCAAGCCCTGGCTCTGGAGCTTGTTGCCCGAGTGGCTTAAGACTTTTACAAGCAGCCCTGAGTGCCGGTTTCAAGCCTCGAACCCCTTCCTGGGATCCGGCCTGGCCTTAGGAGGTCCACAGGGCCTCCAAAAGGGCTCTATGAGACGTAAGGCCCGGATTCCAGCCCGTGCCCACGAGCCATGGTTCCAGCTCCAGTTCCGGCCCTAGCAGCCATGTTGCCGGCTCCCGTACTGGCTCCCCGGCCGACGCCAGCCCCCCGTGTCCTGTCGGCGTTCTGACCGACGCAAGTTCCCCATGTCCTGTCGGCGTTCCGACCGACTCCAGCTCCCCGTCTCCTGTTGGCAGTCCGGCCCTCTCAAGACCCTTCTCAAGTCCCCTCTCAAGTCCCCTCTCTAGTCCCTTCTTTTTTTATTTTTTCAATTCTCTTATTGTCATTTCACAGTACAGGTACTATGTAACGAAATTGTTCTTCTGCATTTGACCCATCCTAGTGTTAGGAGCAGTGTGCTGCCGTGGACGGGGCCCGGGGAGCAGTGTAGGGAACGGTGCCTTGCTCAGGGACACCTCAGTAGTACTTGGTCTTGCCGGGACTCAAACTGGTGACCTTCCAGTTGTCAAGCCAAGTCCCTATCAACTTCGCCACCACCGCCTCAAGTCCCTACTCAAGTCCCTACTCAAGTCCCTACTCAAGTCCCTACTCAAGTCCCTACTCAAGTCCCTTCTCTAGTCCCTTCTCTAGTCCCTTCTCTAGTCCCTTGTCTCTCCTCTAGTCACTTCTTTAGTCCCTTCTCTAGTCCCTTCTCTAGTCCCTTGTCTAGTCCCTTGTCTAGTCACTTGTCTCTCCTCTAGTCACTTCTTTAGTCCCTTCTCAAGTCCCGACTCAAGTCCCTTCACTGTCGGGGGTCCCACCAACTCATGTCCCTTCTACATCGGAGGTTCCGCCGACTCATGTCCCAACTCCATGCTTTGTTCCGTTGGGGGTTCCGCTGGGGGTCCTGCCATCACCATGTCCTGTGCCGTTGGGGGTCCAGCCGACACCTGTTTCGTCGGGGATCGTACCAACTCCATGTCCTGTGCCGTTGGGGGTTGTAAGAGTCGGGAGGAGCTGATAATTTATTCCGGCAAATTACTCAGACCTACTAATTGACCTAACAGAAGTTATTGAGTCTATGTAAGTTTGCTGCTTGGCTCAGATCCACCAACGTCAGCAAAATCTCACCTCTATTAACTCCTGAAGAACCAGATTCAATTAACTGCTGTTTCAATTCAGACGACCCCCTAAATCTGTTTAAGCTAACCCGAAGGATTTTGATATCAGTAAATGAGGTGTGGCCCTACCTAAGTGTGAGTGTGGCAGTGTGCAATCTTACCTTTCAAGCAGGAGAGGAGAGCGCAGATGTCTTTTAAGTTGTCCCAATCCAAAAGGTGGGATCAGTTTATTTGAAGAAAAATAGGTCCAAACTTATACAGGGTTTTTACCTTCTCTCGTTACATTATAATCATACTAAACATATCATGCTGTGATCATGTTCTAATATGAAACTTTAATTCACAGTTTTACATTTATTACCATAATTTGTAACTTCAACTGCCCAATTCAGTTGTGACATTTAAAATCTCCCGATACAATTTAGAGGCATTTCCTCATAAAAGACCGGTGATAATAAAAAGCACATTCAAACTTTCATTCACAAAATCAATTCACATCAATTCCATACCTTTTTCCGACACAGATGGCGGGTACTAACATTCACAAACACACACCTATATCCCGCATGTATTCGGAGGAAGATCCTCACAGGTGGCGGTTACTAATACTCACAAACACACTCCTATCCGACACAGATGGCGGGTACTAACATTCACAAACACATACCTATATCCCGCATGTATTCGGAGGAAGATCCTCACAGGTGGCGGTTACTAATACTTACAAACACACTACAATTCATTCCACTCATTCAACCCAGAAATTCACTCCACTTTCAACAAAGAAATTCGAGAGATATTTACCAAGTTTGAGAGAACCTTACCGGGAGCAAAAACCCAGCTCTCCAGGGAGAGAGCTTTACCGGGAGAGAGTATACCAGGGGATCCCCCACTCTCTCTCTCTCTCTCTCCAAAAAGGAAGTTCCTCCCCATCTGCCAGTGTCTTTATGCTCGAAAACAGGATAGAAAAACCTAAAGACACCTCCTCCATACCCATATTTGTGGAAACTGGGCATGGCCTCTGATGTACAGAACTGGACATGACCAGACATATTCTATGGCTATAAGACACACCTTCCCATATTTGTGTAAAAAGGACATGACCCCTACTCTGCAGGACTTGCAAAATATTATTCTCGGCTATGACATAACCAACTTTTTGGGGCCTCAATGTATTTCTCCTTAAGTCAGGAGCCCCCCTCCCTGTGTACTGCCTGTGAGGGAAGAGGGAAGAAACTGCCTCTTCTCTTATCAGTGAAACCCATAAACCATTACAGGCCTTACACACTCAACTTAACAAACCACTTGTGTTTTGTTTATACTGTAAATATAGAAAATCATAAAATATGAAGCATTTTCATTGTGGGTTATACAAGAATATAATTGATTATATTTGATTATAACTAACTTTCGTTTTAATTATTCAACCTGATATGGAGATCTCAATAGGGTCCAGCCAACAACTGTTTCATCGGGGGTCCTGCTAACTCCATGTCCTGTTCCGTTGAGGGTCCAGCCGACAGCTGTTTCGTTGGGGATCGTACCAACTCCATGTACCGTTCCGTTGAGGGTCCAGCCGACACCTGTTTCGTTGGGGGTCCTGCCAATTCCATGTCCTGTCCTGTTGAGGGTCCCACCGTCACTTGCTCCATCGGGGTTCCTGCCAACACCATCTCCCGTCCGTTTGGGGGTCCCGCCGACACCCGCTACGTCTGGAGTCCTGTCGACACCAGCCCTTACTCCATCCGGGGTCCCACTGACACCAGCCCATGTTCCGTCCAGGGTCCCGTCTACGCCTGTCCCGTCAGGGGTTCCGTCTACACCTGTCTCGCCGGCTCCGGTTCCTGTCCGGCTGACACTGGTTCCTGTCCCACCGGGGGTCCCACCAGCTCCTGCTCCCGATCCCAGTACGCCTGATCCGGCGATCCAGCGCTGACACTGGAGGGGTCCAATCGCGGCGTACCCCATCCTCCGGAGCTGTCCCGTCCTTCTTGCCTGACCTTGTGCCCGGCCTCCTGAGTTCCCCAGCGGCTTTCGCCCTCGAGCCCGGCCCCCTGACTTTCCCAGCCGCTGCCGTCGCCGTTGTGCCCGGCCCCCTGAGTTGGCCCGCTGCGGCCTTAACCCCTCCTCGAACTTTGCCTTGCCCCCGGGTCGTCCGCCCGAGACTACCTTCTCAAACTCTGCCTTTCCCCCGGGCCGTCTGCCCGAGACCCCTTCCTCAAACTCTGCCTTGCTCCCGGGCCGTCCGCACGAGTCCCCCTTCTCGGCTTCTGCCGTGCCCCCGTGCCGTCAGCCCAAATGCACACAATCTCCAAAATGACCATCCTTTCCCGACTGCGCCTCAATAGTTTACGCTTCAGGACCGGGGTCGCTCATTAAAGCACTACATGACTGACGACGTGGCGAATATAATGTAGTCAAATTCATTAATTTGACCTGGAAACGCCAATTGAGCTCCTCATTCCGATTGTTTAGAATCATATACAGCTGTCTCCTGTGAGACACTACAGGCTTTACCAGAGGAGATTTGCAGATTTGTATTCCCTGCCTCCGAAAATTGAAAGCGGACCAGCACATTCTCATTATCTTCCCTAGAGCCAGGAAACCAGTGGTTCTGATGTTTGGACTGAATGGCTGTTTCCATGTAATAAGACTTCAAGGTTAACTCACTGCATGTAAGGAATGCGTGGAAGGGTAGGACCCAAATGCAGACTATCAGAAAAGGTAAACGGTCTCGAAACAAAAACGAGCTTTATTCTTAAAGCTTATCAATAGCATGGCATGAAATACATAGGTTCTACAGAAAACTGACCGTGACCAACATGGTGGGAGACAGGAGAAACAAACAATGAACCGACAGGGGAACACAGGAAGAGACAAGACTAAATACAGAGAGGGGTAATCACAAGACGAGACACAGCTGGGGTAAGGGAGGCAGAAACACAAGGGCAACAGGTGAACACAATCAAACAATCAGACACACCAGGGAAACTAAGACAGGAAGGCAAACACAGGAAGAAGGAACAGAGAAGACACGAGGAAAACATTTCAAAACAAAACAGGAAACCAGAAAAAGACAAGACAAAACACAACACAGACAGATCGTGACACTGCAGTGAACATAATCAAGGGAAATGAGACGTCCTTCATGATGGAAGCCCAGAGATGAAAGAGATAACATTTAAAAAATATGAGGAAGTCAGTCTGTCCATACCTGAGAGTGTCTAGTTTCCAGAGTGGACCCTCCAGTCCAGCAGACAGCAGCTTCTCTCCCGAGTCTCCTGGATGATTGTAGCTCAGGTCCAGCTCTCTCAGATGGGAGGGGTTGGAGCTCAGAGCTGAAGCCAGAGAAACACAGCTGCCCTCTGTGACCATACAGCCTGACAGACTGGAACCAGGGAATACAGTAAACTCACATCAGCAGGAAAATCATACAGAGGTTGACCATCTTCATCAGCATGAACAAAAGGCTGGATACAATTAATTAAAAAGTGAAACTGATTGAAAATAAAAAGCTGAACTCTGACCTGAGAGTCTCCAGTTCACAGTGTGGACTCTGCAGTCCAGCAGACAGCAGCTTCACTCCTGAATCCTTCAGGTCGTTGTTACTCAGGTCCAGATCTCTCAGACTAGAGTACTGGGAGCTGAGGACTGAGGACAGAGCTTCACAGCTTCTCTCTGACAGGTTGCAGCCACTCAGCCTGGGGAAAGATCAGCAGTGAACACAAAGAGTTTTATTATCATGTCTCAAACTGTTCCTAGTTAATGTAGTTTTATCTCCACTTACAGAGCTTTCCTGGAGGCTTTGACCACTGGCAGCAGCCTCAGAAGAGCCCCCTCTGAATCAGAGTATTTCTTCAGGTCAAACACATCCAGATCTTCTTTTGATGAAAGTAAGATGAAGACCAGAGCCGACCACTGAGCAAGAGACAGATCCTCTGTGGAGAGACTGCCTGATCTCAGGGACTGTTGGATCTCCTCCACTAGAGAACGATCATTCAGTTCATTCAGACAGTGGAACAGGTTGATGCTTTTCTCCGGAGACGGGTTCTTTCTTATCTTTTTCTTGATGTATTCAACTGTTTCCTGGTTGGTCTGTGAGCTTCTTCCTGTCTGTGTCAGCAGGTCCTGTAATAAGGTCTGATTTGTATCCAGTGAAAGACCCAGGAGGAAGCGGAGGAACAAGTCCAGGTGTCCGTTTGGACTCTGTAAGGCCTGGTCCACAGCACTCTGGTAGAGATGTGTTAGTTCAGGTTTGGGTTTGGCTCTGAATAATTTAAGCAGCCAGGAGGTTGTTGGTTCTTCTGACAGCAGGTTGACTCCAGAGTGGATGAAGGTCAGATGGACATGAAGAGCAGCCAGAAACTCCTGAACGCTCAGATGGACGAAGCAGAACACTGTGTTATTGTACGTTCCTCTCTCCTCTCTAAAGACCTGTGTGAACACTCCTGAGTACACTGAGGCTGCTCTGATATCGATGCCACACTCTCTCAGGTCAGACTCATAGAAGATCAGTTTGCCTTTCTGCAGCTGCTCAAAAGCCAGTTTTCCCAGAGACTCCATCATCTTCATCCTGCTCTCTGGACTCCAGTGTTGATCTGTCTCAGCTCCTTCATCATACTTGACGTTCACTTTGGACTGAACCACCAGGAAGTGGACGTACATCTCAGTCAGGGTCTTGGGCAGCTCTCCTCTCTCAGTTTTCAACATGTGGTCCAGAACTGAAGCAGAGATCCAGCAGAAGACTGGGATGTGGCACATGATGTGAAGGCTTCGTGAGGTCTTGATGTGGCAGATGATGGTGCCGGCCTGCTCCTGATCTCTGAACCTCTTCCTGAAGTACTCCTCCTTCTGTGGGTCAGTGAACCCTCGGACCTCTGTCACCATGTCCACACACTCAGGAGGGATCTGATTGGCTGCTGCAGGTCGTGTGGTTATCCAGAGGCGAGCAGAGGGAAGCAGTTTCCCCCTGATGAGGTTTGTCAGCAGCCGATCCACTGAGGTGGACTTTCTGATATCAGTCAGCATCTCAGAGTTGTGGAATTTCAGAGGTCGACACTCATCCAGACCGTCAAAGATGAACACAACCTTGAACTGATCAAACCTGCAGATTCCTGCGTCTCTGGTTTCAGAGAAGAAGTGATGAACAAGTTCCACCAAGCTGTACTTGTTCTCTCTCACCACATTCAGCTCTCTGAAAGGTAATGGAAATATGAACTGGATGTCCTGGTTGGCTTTGCCTTCAGCCCAGTCCAGAGTGAACTTCTGTGTTAAGACTGTTTTCCCAATGCCAGCCACGCCCTTTGTCATCACTGCTCTGATTGGTTTACCTCTTTCAGTTGAGCCTTTAAAGAGGTCTTCTTGTCTGATTGGTGTTTCTGATCTGTCTGGTTTACTGGATGCTCGTTCGATCTGTCTGTTCTCATGTTCCTTGTTGACCTCTCCGGTGTCTCCCCTGGTGATGTAGATCTCCGTGTAGATTTCATTTAGGGATTCAAATTTTTCCATAAATTTGATAAATTCAATTTTTTCCTTCAGGTTTGATTTGAGTTCACCCTGGCACTTTGTGAAAATATCTGAATGAATAAGAAAGACATTTACATGAAAGACACATCAAAATGGTTCCTTCTAATTGGACCCATTTCTGACAAAATAGCAGGTTATTTTCCTTATATCAAGTCACTGGATCTTGTTGCATAATTATTTGCACATTGTCCAGTATAAGTTCCACCCCACAGAGAACCATCAGTTTTCCCACAGAGAACCATGGCCCTAAACCTGACTGACTCTTATTCCTGCTGCTGGGAGATGAGGCACGATACCAGCTGATCCCAACACCCACTGAGGGTGTGGACACAGCTCTCTCTCCAGTTATACAGGAAGTGGATGGCTCTTAGTGAGTCGCAGTACACTCCTGCAGGCGCCTACCATCTAAAAGATACCCTGTGGGGTCACAGTAATAACCCGTCCCTTCCTCACCAAGTCATGTTGGACGGCAAATGATACCTCCTTCCACCTGTAGGGGGCTGGGCCATTAGTAATGACTAGGACAGAATCTGCAGTGAGCAATCCCAGTGAGGCTGAGCAATGTGCTCCTCTGATGTTCAGAGCTTATCCTACAGTCCCCTTTAAAACATGGACAATGACACTGTCTGCCTCCATGCAGCATTGAACAGGAATTTCAATCACAACTGTCCAATCCTATGTCAGGACAAACCTCCACAGTGTGTCCCTGTGGCCCCTTCTGACCACCTGAGCAACAACAGCTGTTCTCCAAGCCCTCAGCTCTGCCTCCTGAACTCAGTGTGCATCAGTCCCATTCAACATCCTGAGACTGAGACAGCAGCTAACCTACACTGTGGAAAACAGCCGGGGTTCATCCATGACTCCCCCTCCTGAGATATATCTGACAGTTCGGCAGGACCAACCTCATTCCAAACAGAATTGGCTGTTTCCTGGGAAGACGTAGCACTCAAGGACTCACTGCCATTTCAGAGCCCACTGATGACTTTCTGGTCATTCCTCTGATCCATCCTCTCCCCAACACTGGCTTTTAGCATCACCCACTTGTATTACATATCTCCAAAGTCCCACCAGGAGAAACTCGTTAATATAGCATTGGTGGTTCAGTGGTAGAGTTCTCGCCTGGACGCCCGGGTTAGATTCCCCGCCAATGCAGCGGAGTGTTTTAGTGCCGCAGTCTGTAGGAATTTGTCTTGGGAACCGAAGGGTCGCCGGTTGGAGTCCCGATCGGATCAAAAATAATACAGAGTGTAGACTGGTTCCTGGAGAGGTGCCAGTTCACCTCCTGCCCTCGAGCAAGGCACAGAACCCCCAACTGCTCACTGGCGCTGGACAGACTGGCCGCCTGTTTTGCTCAGACCTCTCTCACCTGTCCTGTGCATGTGTGTGTAGTGTACTGTCTGTTACCACAACCGAGTGAACAACTGAAATGAAATAAAGCGTCTTCTCCTTCTTAATAACATCGGCTTGCGCATCATAATGACGTTGGATAGTGTCAGTGCGGCCGGATTCTCAAAGCACAACAGTCTCTTTTCCTAAGTCCTGATGAATCCTTCTATCATTAACCCCAAGATGTTTCACAGAGGTTAACCTGTTACGCACCGCCCCCCCGGTACCGGGCGGATAAACGCGTCATTTGCAGGAAACAACGTCTAAGGAATCTTAATATTTAATAAACTATGAATGTTTTATATCCATGTAACGGGAAGAAACTCAGCTAACTGATCTTTTTAATTTTTTTTCCCAACAAAACCCCACAATGCTAACACTCAGCCACGAGCAAAAAAATGTAACCTAAAACTGCACCTAAACTCACTCATAACTCCCTTATTACTTATCCTAGATGCACAGCCAACCCATCGATTAGCATCTCCTGGAGACACAGAATCTGTGTAAAAAACCTCAACACTCAGTGATAAACATTTGCGACGCTATAAACGAAAGCGTACATCATAACATGTGGAGCTAGGTAGCTAGAAACGCTAACATGGCTTACCTTGGTCAAAAACTGGTCTTCAATGGCATTAAAACGATAAAAAAACGATGCTGCAGTTAATCCATAGGTTAATCCAATGTGTCTGTGTCCTCTTTGAAATGATTTCTGATAATCCATAAGCAATAAAACTGCTTTTTCGTTTCCAAATGTCAGAGCGAGAGATCGGTCCACTCTACGGTCAGAAAGAGGTGTCAACCATCCAAATCGAGCAAGGGGGGCCAGAGATATGGAAAAAAAAACATTTTCACCCAAATCACCTCAGAGGTGGGGTGGTTTTGGCTAAACCTCTCTAAAAAGGTCAAATGTCACTTGTTTTGCATCAATCTTGATACAGGGTACTTATTATATGTTGTACTTTGGATTCCTAAAGCTTTTAGTCTACTAACCCATCATCCAAGGGTAGTTTTCACTATAAGTAAAACAGAATTTTTGGACGGACACTATAATTTACAGTTTTTTACTATGTAAAATCTGAATTTTCTTTAAAATAAAAAAGATCTATATTGATTCTGAAACTTCTACATCCAACTCACAGATGTAACCTTGCTTTGATAAAAGAAATTATTCATATAACCTTTTTAGAAGTTAAGTTATAGTCATTTGTTTTGGGCATGTCATTTTCGAGCCTGAAACATGAAAAAGAGGCTTGGTGCTTAACAGGTTAAGGAATAGTGGTTAGGAAGAGACTGTCTCGATTCTTAGTTTTGTGTGTTTAGTTTCCTGTTTTATTCCCCCCCCCCCCCTATTAACACTTTGTCATACAATATAAATGTTATGTTTTATAGCGTTACCTGGTGATTTCAAAGAAAGCTCTCTGGAAAAGGTTGACTTACTGTCAGTGTTCGACATGAAGCTAGAAGCTACCTTACAGTACACAGTCACAGGGGAGTGATTTGTAAAATATCCATAAAGCAAAAGAAAATCTGTTAACAGTTCTGTTTCATATGGGTGTTGAGAGATGTATCCATATCTCTTAATTTTGCTCTCAAAGTGCACCAGATTGATGCTTTTAACTTCGATATTTAAAAAAAAAAGAGGAGGTGAGGTTACCCCTGCTTAAACCTATATGCCATGAGCTGATTATTGAGCCTTCATTGTAACAGTCGCGGGTGCACTGTGTATGTGCGTGTGGGGAGTGTTGCAGTAGAAATGTCCACTGTAGCGCCCGGTACCTTAATGTACCTTAATGAACTGCGGGCTGAGCCCCGAATGTTTCCAGGAAACGCCCCTTGTGCACGCGCCTTGAGTTCAACATAGTTTAACCTGTTAAGCACCAAGCCTGTTTTTCATGTTTCAGGCTCGAAAATGACATGCCCAGAACAAATGACTACAACTTAACTTCTAAAACGGTTATATGAATAATTTCTTTTATCAAACCAAGGTTACATCAGTGAGTTGGATGTAGAAGTGTCAGAATCAATATAGATGTTTTTTATTTTAAAGAAAATTCAGATTTTACATAGTAAAAAATTGTAAATTATAGTGTCCGTCCAAATATTCTTCTTTACAGATAGTGAAAACTACCCTTGGATGATGGGTTAGTAGACTAAAAGCTTTAGGAATCCAAAGTACAACATATAATAAGTACCCTGTATCAAGATTGATGCAAAACAAGTGATATTTGACCTTTTTAGAGAGGTTTAGCCAAAACCACCCCACCTCTGAGGTGACTTGGGTGAAAATGTTTTTTTTTCCATATCTCTGGAACCCATTGGTCGATTTTGATGGTTGACACCTCTTTCTGACCGTTAGAGCCAATAGAATCGAAGGGGGAGGCCCCCACACACACATGTTGTGAAGAGAAAAGGTGGGGGCTGCGCGCATGTAATTTTGCGTATCTCTAGCTCTGACATTTGGAAACGAAAAAGCAGTTTTATTGCTTATGGATTATCAGAAATCATTTCAAAGAGGACACAGATACATTGGATTAACCTATGGATTAACTTCAGCATCGTTTTTTTATCGTTTTAATGCCATTGAAGACCAGTTTTGACCAAGGTAAGCCATGTTAGCGTTTCTAGCTACTTAGCTCCACATGTTATGATGTACGCTTTTGTTTATAGCATCGCAAATGTTTATCACTGAGTGTTGAGGTGGGCACCCCCAGATTCTGTGTCTCCTGCTGATGGGTTGGCTGTGCATCTAGGATAAGTAATAAGGGAGTTATTGTGAGTTTAGTTGCAGAGATAGGTTACATTTTTTCGCTCGTGGCTAATTCAGAGGCTGAGTGCTAGCATTGTGGGTTTTTTTTGGATTTTTTTTTTAAAAAGATCAGTTAGCTGAGTTTCTTCCCGTTACATGGATATAAAACATTCATAGTTTATTAAATATTAAGATTCCTTAGACGTTGTTTCCTGCAAATGACGCGTTTATCCGCCCGGTACCGGGGGGGCGGTGCGTAACAGGTTAACAGGTTAAAGACATACCTTCAGGGTCTGATGGGAATTTTGATAATTCCCCTTCTAGATCATTCCTCGGGATCTCTTTCAAAACTTCTCTGGTCACTTTAATGGTGTGTATGCCGTAGTACAGAAACATCAGATCCACTGTGTCCCTCCGGTTTGCTTTCTCTAGTTCACTCTTTGGGATTCCTGGAAATCCTAGGACCTTCTCCTGCAGGTGCCACTTGAAGTCTTTAAACTCATCATCCCCCAAATCTTTTAAAGTTCTTTTTAGGACTTTTCTAGGTGTCTCCATCTTTTCTCCCTGCAGATACCAAGAAAGAAAATCTTTATCTTACAGAACTATATGTTGTTTTATTGTATTTTTGTACTTTTGAAAACCATAACAGGCCTTGAGGATCCAAAGAACAGCTGCCATGTGACTTTGGATGGCTTCAATTCAGATGTCGAGTTAGTAAATGCCCTAATCGGTTCTAAACTTGTTTTAATATCTTAGACTTCACGAAAGACATTCAGGAAGTCAATCCTAAACTTGAAGACAGTCAGCACAGTCAGTTCTGTCTTTTCCTTTAATGTCTTGGTTTGGTAACCTGTCTTTAAAGAGCAGAAACTGTCTCAGTCAGATCATAAAGTGGTCTAGCAGACTGATTGGTGAGTCTCAGCTAAACCTGGAGCCCCTGCTCATCAGACAGTTACAGAGGCTGTCTAACTCCATGTTCAATGAAGACTCCCACCCCCTGCAACCTGAGCTTCAGCTTCTTCCTTCGGGCCGGAGGTTAATCTTCCTAAAGGTGTAGAAAAGGTTTAAAAACAGCTTTGTCTGTGCTAGTGGGTTTCAATGTGTCTGTGTTGTTTGAAGCATGTGTCACAATGGATACCTTTTCTTTTTTCTACAAACCAAGTCTACTCACAGGTACAAAGAAATAACCTGGATCTGAACTAGACAGATGGGATATTGTGATACAGTTAGGGCTGATGGTAGAGAGAGACTCACACACCTGGTTCTGGTCTCTGGCAGTAAGCTGGTTACTGGACACAGAGCTGGGTCCAGGTCCAGGTCCAGGTCCAGGTCCAGGTCCAGGTTCACGTCCAGGTCCAGGTCCAGGTCCAACAGAATGAGGTGTTTGCTCTGGGCTTGAACACAACACACACAAAGCTTTGAGTGAATAATGAGTGCTGAGCTGTGACATGGAGAAGAGTGATGGACAGGTGGTGATCTCACCTCTGAGCTTTGGTCTGGCTGTCATGTTCCCCAGAGCTTTTAGAGGGAGGGGCTTCCTCCTCTCTGTCCTCACACTGATCCATAGCAGAGCCCCCACCTTCACACAAACACAACAACATGCTCATTCATTGCCACAAGCTTTACATCACAGGTAGTGCTCCTCCTCTCAGATATTCAGGAACCTTGTTGTTCCCCACAGCCCCAGAACCACACACAAACTCAGGGTGTTGACCCATATATTTATTTGTTTTTGTGTTAGAGTTTATTGAAATACCCAAAACTGAATTTCATCTTTTCCACAATACATTTTAGAAAATGTATTGATAACATTATTTTCTGTTAGGTTGGGTTTCTAAACCTAACCTAACTCAGTAAACAAACACTGAAATAATACAAAAAAAAGGCAGAGTTGGAGAGGAGCCAAAGACAATTCAGCAATCTTCACGGCGCAGGTATGTATGTACCACCCCCTCCCCCATTCAGAGTATTAAGAGCTAGACATGAAAACAGTCACAAGTTGTTAGAGCGGGTTCTGACACGCCCTGCATTTTTCTCTGATGACGAGAACTCAGAGAACAATCAGACTGCAACTCATTCTACTTGAAACACTGACAACAGTACATGGAGATCTTTCTAAACTCATTCTGCTTTCACTCAGAGAGAAACCCTACACAATATTTCAGACATATGTTTAGAATCAGCATCAAGAAACATGTGTCCTGTCCAGGTAAACAGTGACTCTGTCCAGGTAAACATTGACTCTGTCCAGGTAAACATTGACTCTGTCCAGGTAAACAGTGACTCTGTCCAGGTAAACATTGACTCTGTCCAGGTAAACAGTGACTCTGTCCAGGTAAACAGTGACTCTGTCCAGGTAAACATTGACTCTGTCCAGGTAAACAGTGACTCTGTCCAGGTAAACAGTGACCCAGAAACAGATTCCTGTGGGAGGATTCTCACCTGCTGAACGCTCTTCAGGTCCACTCACAGACTCTCTTCAGGTCCACTCACAGAAACTCTGCTCATCTCTTCCTCTTCAGTCCTGAGTCTGCCTGCATCTGATCTGAGGACGCCTTCACACCCTCAGAAATCCAGAGAGTAAAAACACGTCAGAGTCACGTGGAAACCGGCCTTACAGGATGTAGCTGTCAGCCTGCCAGACTCTCCCTCACCTGCCTGAGCTGTTTGGCTACACTGTAAAAAATAAAATTGTAAAAAAACGGATATTTTCTGGCAGCTGGGGAGCCAGAAAATGTCCGTTAAAAAAAGGAAAAAAACTGTAAAATAAACTACGGAGATAAAATGTAAAAAAACAGTAACTTACCTTACCCTACCTTAGTAGTGCGTGAGGCCATATGTACAGACATGTACATGGGACATGAAAACAGTGCATCTCATATTGACACAAAAAACCTTACTAACCGAGTTTTCCAAATCACTCTAAAAATAAGCCGTTGTGATACACGTGTAGACAACGTCTGCAGAATCATAAATGATCATTACATTGGGGTCATTAAACCATTATTTCGCTAAGATAAAAAACATTAACCTGTTAAGCACCAAGCCTGTTTTTCATGTTTCAGGCTCGAAAATGACATGCCCAAAACAAATGACTACAACTTAACTTCTAAAAGGGTTATATGAATAATTTATTTTTATCAAAGCAAGGTTACATCTGTGAGTTGGATGTAGAAGTGTCAGAATCAATATAGATGTTTTTTATTTTAAAGAAAATTCAGATTTTACATAGTAAAAAACTGTAAATGATAGTTTCCGTCCAAAAATTCTTTTTTACTTATAGTGAAAACTACCCTTGGATGATGGGTTAGTAGACTAAAAGCTTTAGGAATCCAAAGTACAACATATAATAAGTACCCTGTATCAAGATTGATGCAAAACAAGTGACATTTGACCTTTTTAGAGAGGTTTAGCCAAAACCACCCCACCTCTGAGGTGATTTGGGTGAAAATGTTTTTTTTTCCATATCTCTGGCCCCCCTTGCTCGATTTGGATGGTTGACACCTCTTTCTGACCGTTAGAGCCAATAGAATCGAAGGGGGAGGCCCCCACACACACATGTTGTGAAGAGAAAAGGTGGGGGCTGCGCGCATGTAATTTTGCGTCAGAGTGGACCTATCTCTAGCTCTGACATTTGGAAACAAAAAAGCAGTTTTATCAGGGTTGCCAACTTTGGGTACCTGGCTGGAGTGAGATTTTGATATCATGGGTTTAATTCGGTTTAATTACACATATGCGCACGAAATGACTGCTATCGTGTCAGCAGCGGGACCTGAGCATATATATAGGATATATATACAATATATACAAATACACAATAATGGACACAGACTATAAAGGGCACACAGTTTCATTCACTAATGAAAGTCAAACATGTTTGTTTCCACTGTTTTATTGTATGCCTGTCGCGATAAGCAATTTAATTGACTTATCGTACGATAAATAAAAATGAACTCGATAACTTTTCTGACCTCGATAAATTGCCATTTACATGAGGATGTGACTAGCAGTTTGAAAGGATGTACTTGAATTATTATTATATATTATCATTATGTCAGTGGTCTAAAATGGTCATACAACGGTGCCGACAATATTATCGCTTATCGCAATAATTTCTGGGAAAATGTATCCAACAAAATTAATTATCGTGAGAGGCCTATACATGAAACACACACACACAAACAAATCTACAGACTTACTCCAAACTGCCAAATATATTAATTAACACACTCTCACTCTCATATACTCTTTGACTCTATTTTGGCCTAGTAGAACAATAAGCAGCAGACTTTTACTTTTTTATCATTTCTACTGGATCTTAGATCTGCGCATGCGCTCTAGAGTATTTTTGTTGGGTAATCTATGGTAGGGCTAACCCATACAGTGGTGGGGCTCAAGTCAGTATTTGCAATGTAATTACATACACGCTCCCCCCGACAGTGAAACGCCACGCGTGAGGTTTAGATTATTTCCCTGTCTCAATCCAAATTGAACTGTATGAAATAAAAAGGCACATTTGTCTTGTAGTAAATAAAAAGGGCGACCTGGAGCCAATCCTGCAATTTCCCCACAGGTGAAAGAGTTGACCTGCTGAAAACCCAACCCCTGCAGGGGGGTCTGGGGGATTTTCCCCCAGGAGATTTTTTGAAATACTAACATAAAATACACATTCTGGTACTCTCTTGAGAAGAAAAATAAATAAATCTATTACTACACATTTAAAAAAATGAATGCCATATTAGTTTTTTGTTACTTTGTTCTGAAAGCTGAACCTGCTGCAGCAGTGCTGCTCCTCACAGAGAGAAGAGGCTGTGTGAATTACTTTACATTGTGGATAAGGGTGGATAGCCCCCATTGTTCTGTGTGTCAAAATGAAAGACAGCCCACACACCTATCAATCATCAAACCGTGGGGTCTTATTTCATTACGTGTTGATTTCTATCAACACGTAATGTTGTATCGATGTATAGAGATGTACTACCGCAAAAGTATTCTCCGTCGGGACTTCCTGCAACAACACCACGCCGTTATCGTGATTCTGATTGGCCAGAAGACATTATCAAAGATGTTCTATTGAGAAGACGATCACTACGTGACAAAAGTTTTCAAAACCGTTTCTAGTCTTCGTATTCTTGTTTTTGGTGTGAGAATAGTTTGGGCAGTGTGAGAGCGTGAGATTGAGAGTGAAAGCGTGTGTCACACGCCAGATGCGTGAGAGTTGGCAACCCTGGTTTTATTGCTTATGGATTATCAGAAATCATTTCAAAGAGGACACAGACACATTGGATTAACCTATGGATTAACTGCAGCATCGTTTTTTTATCGTTTTAATGCCATTGAAGACCAGTTTTGACCAAGGTAAGCCATGTTAGCGTTTCTAGCTACCTAGCTCCACATGTTATGATGTACGCTTTCGTTTATAGCGTCGCAAATGTTTATCACTGAGTGTTGAGGTGGGCACCAAACGATTCTGTGTCTCCAGGAGACCCAAAACGAGTGGTTGGCTGTGCATCTAGGATAAGTAATAAGGGAGTTATTGTGAGTTTAGTTGCAGAGATAGGTTACATGTTTTTCGCTCGTGGCTAATTCAGAGGCTGAGTGTTAGCATTGTGTTTTTTTTTTTTATTTAAAAAAAAAAAGATCAGTTAGCTGAGTTTCTTCCCGTTACATGGATATAAAACATTCATAGTTTATTAAATATTAAGATTCCTTAGACGTTGTTTCCTGCAAATGACGCATTTATCCGCCCGGTACCGTGGGGATGGTGCGTAACAGGTTAAAGTTTTGGATTTTAGTGTAATTCACAAATGTTCCACCAGATGGTGCCACACACACCCAGGGGGAAAAGGAATAAGTGTGCAAAATATGGGTACATTAGTGTTTAAAGTCGGGGGAACTGTTTTAATTCAGGACTAGGGTGAAAAGATAACAGATTTACAGTCATTTAATGAAAACTGGTAGTTCACAATGTGCTATTTCAGCAGAAATAGCAGAATCTGAACATGTGCCAGAACTACAATGCATGTTGTCATGCAGTCTTAAACTGATGAATCTGTTTAAATGCAGGCAGCAGAGTCACTGCTGTTAGCAGGGTCTCAAAGACCCATAGACCCAGAGACCCAGGGTACAGCACCTCGCTGTCTTACCCAGAAAACAGGGCTCTGATCAGGGCTAAAGTAATGTTATAAACTGGTGAATCTGTTTAAATGCAGGCTCTATGTGGCGGCTCACAGACCCCCAAAGGACGGACTAGAGACCTCCAGCATGAGTCCCTAACAGTGGCACTCCTCCATAACCTTGCACACCATGAGTCCCCGGGCCCCCGCAGTTAAGCACTCCCCCACGGACTAAACCCAGATATTCACACCCTCCAGAACCTTGTGCCCCTGGTAAGACTAACAAGGGGGTGGATTTTGTGGTGGTCTACCGTCCGCCCTTAAGCATCCAACTGCGGACTCCTGACACTCAGACACTTTTCATATTTTTAGGTTACCAAGGGCACGCTTGTCTGGCAGTTATGCACATGGGGTTTTGTCCAAGGCAGTGTGCTTAAGTCAGGGGGCCCGGGGACTCACGGTGCGCATGGCAGGCCGCCTATGAGCGGCCAAAATGTTTTAATTCACTCATTATTGTCGTTTTTAGACAGTGTACATTTGACGACATAAACATACGGAGTTATGGACATAAACGTGTCAGTATAGACAGAACAATGTACATATTAATCATATTTATTTTGTTAAATGTACAAGAAGCTAAAAACAGCAGAATCACTGCTTTAAGCAGGATATCACACTCACAGGCAGAAATACACACACCCAGGGTGAAAAGATAACATATTTACCCAGGGAAAGTGTGCAAAACATGGGTACATTAGTGTTTAAAGTCGGGGGAACTGTTTTAATTCAGGACCAGGGTGAAAAGATAACATATTTAGCCAGGAATAAGTGTCTGACTCATGGGTACATTAGTGTTTAAAGTCGTGGGAAATGTTTTAATTCAGGAGGTTTTAAGTGTGGCTTCACTTGTGTCACACACCCAGGGGGAAAAGATAACATATTTACCCAGGAATAAGTGTCTGAATCATGGGTACATTAGTGGTCAGAGTCGTGGGAAATGTTTTAATTCAACCGGAGAGGGTAATTCACTTCTTACCCTGTGAACAGGGCTGCAAACATGGCTATATGAGTGTTAAAATACTGTCAAACTGTTTTAATTCAGTCGTAATAGTCGTTTTTAGACAGTGTACATTGGACGACATAAACATACGGAGTTATGGACATAAACGTGTCAGTATAGACAGAACAATGTACATATTAATCATATTTATGTTGTTAAATGTACAAGAAGCTAAAAACAGCAGAATCACTGCTTTAAGCAAGATATCACACTCACAGGCAGAAATACACACACCCAGGGGGAAAAGATAACATATTTAGCCAGTAATAAGTGTCTGACTCATGGGTACATTAGTTTTTAAAGTCGTGGGAAATGTTTTAATTCAGGAGGTTATAAGTGTGGTTTCACTTGTCTCACACACACCCAGGGGGAAAAGATAACATATTTACCCAGGGAAAGTGTGCAAAACATGGGCACATTAGTGTTTAAAGTCGGGGGAACTGTTTTAATTCAGGACCAGGGTGAAAAGA